CTACTGTTCTGCAATCACATCTGCATGTTACAAACCCAATACTTAGTTATAATTATTTTATATAATCTGTTGTATCTTAAACTGAGAAATGAAAGGAGAGCAAGTATATATTATAGCATTCATTACATTAATCTTATTTATCTCTTCTGGTTCTCTTCATGTATTCCTATGAATTCAAGTTACTATATGGTATCATCTTCGTACTGCAAATACAGCTTTGCTTACCTCAATTTCCTTTGTGATATTAATACTAAATATGTCACATGTTACAGGCTCCTGGAGTGGCCATTGCCCAGCTGAGAGGGAGAATGTAAGTAGTTTGTAGGTCAAATGCCACAAACTTGCTGTTCTTACTGTCTTAGTAGACTTCCTTGAATGTTTCTTCATTTAATGAGCTGTATGCCCTTAGGACAATTTCCAGACTGTATAAATGGTTGTTTTGTTTATATTTTTCACTAGTTAGGCTTGTTTCACTGGCAGATGGGTCCACAAAGTTCCTCACATGGTCTCTAGAAGTATCACTTATTAGTTCTTACCTTCACATATAAAATTGTATTTGATCCTCACAATTTTATGAAACAAGGATAAAGATTTCTAGCCCTAAAAATGAGGCCAAGAATGCCAAGTAACTTGGCTGAAGTTATAAGGCTTATCAGAGCCATATGCTCACTCAGGAGGTACTTACTGCCTACTCTGTGCTAAACATTAGATTTAAAATGTTCAGCACTTACTGTATAGACAGGAGACAAACACCAGGCAACTGCAGCACAAGGTTAAGTGCTAGAATAAAGCGTATGGTGCCCTAAGCAAAAAGAAGGGCACTGGCTGGGTGCAGTGGCTCACTTCTGTAATCCCAGTACTTTGAGAGGCTGAGGCGGGTGGATCGCTTGAGCCCAGGAGTTGAGACCAGCCTAGACAATATGGTGAAACTACATCTACAAAAAAAAAAAAAAATTAGCCAGGCATGGTGGCATGTGTCCCAGCTACTTGGGAGGCGGAGGTGGGAAAATCGCTTGAACCCAGGAGGTTGAAGCTACAGTGAGCCATGATCATACCATGCCACTGCACTCCAGCCTGGGCAACAGAGTAAACCCTGTCTCAAAAAAAAAAAAAAAATTGGGGGGGGGCAGGGTCACCTAGTCTAGTCTTGAATAAGAATTAGAAACTAAGCATTTTAATTCCTGTTTTTCTTGTAAATAGAAAGGGCCAAATAGCACAAAATAAAGCGGTACATAGCATAGTAGTTAAGAAAAGACTGAAGCCGGATGGCTAGTTTATATTTCAGTCCAATTATTAGTTATGTTACCTTGGGTAAGTCACTTAATTTCTCTGTGCTTATTTCCTTATCTGTAAAATGATGCTAGTATTATCTACTCCTTAGGGTAATAAGATTAAGGAAGACACCAGCACTGTGCTCATAATTGTATCTGGTATATGTTTGTACTATACAACTAATTGCTAAATAAATTCTATTAGTGAGAGGATGGTGTTAAATACTAAACTCCCCCAGGGCATGCTTGTCAAGTAAAGTGCCAAACTTCAAAAAGCTGAAATCAAATCGATTTCTTGAGACATAGTATCTACTTGTTTTTAAGAATTATTTCATTTTCACTGACTTAAGGTTAAGTGTGAGATTTAGGGTTAACTGAAAAGAACAACTCTTCAGGAAATAACTGGGAACCTGTAGTCTTCCAGGTTATCTGCATGTTGCCATAGGGTAATTTTAAAACATCTCTACTATAGTACACTTTGAATTAATTCAACAGAAAACAGATCTAACATGTTAGAAAAACTGTTTAAGATTTCTGTTAAAATAAGATTCCAATAAAAATACAGTTTGTATTCGGTTTTTAGGTTTCTTTGGGTTAACTACTGAAACACTTAACACTATACTTCAAAAGTATTGTACTATGCTCCATCAGTCTTGTTGAAAGTTCTGGAAAATCAGGAGCTATTCATGCTGATGCTCATGCCCGTAGTAGTGTTATTCGGTCTCCTGGGAAAATAAACTGAAATGTGGCTCAAAATATGGCTGTAAGCTCAACAGGGTACAATCAGCTACTTGCAAGTCTTCCCACCCCTCACTTTCCTGGGAAATGATTCTATTAAGTACCTCTCTAAATATGCCTACATTTAGTGCAGTTTTACAACTTCCCTCGGTATCAATCACACTTCTGTGACCAAACAAATGACTACTGCAAACTGGTTTATTTTATCTTTTATGGTAAAGTGTCAACATCTTTATTGCTAATATAAGCATTTAATGTCAAAGAAATGAAGGCAATATTACAAACTCAATTTCTGTAAGTACCTGAAATTTCTGTTTGATTACATGGTTTTATATCATACTTGTTCAAATGCATTTGTCTCCCTTAGAGAGAGTATTTCAGCATCACTCCTTTAGAATTATTTCAGTCATTCCTAACATGTGACTTTACCAAAGACCTTAAACTTAAGAAACAAGCAAAACAAAATTTCAATGACTTTTAGATAAATAGAATAAGAAATAGTCATGACATGACAATTGGGGATGTTCATCTCCAACAAGACACTGTCAAAATGTTTCCTCTGATATAGCAGTTTTAAGTCAGAGCCTTCAAAACACAAGGGCAGAGCAAGAGTACAATAACAGAAGCATCTGCAACTTAAGTCTTCCACAGCCCTAAGCCCGATATACACAAAGCAAAGCCTCCTTCCTGCAAACTTCCATCCAGTTGAATTTTCACAGATAGATGCTCAAGAGCTATCATTAATAAATATAGCATATTGGCTCTAGTTGCATCAATTATGCCTAAAGAGTTTAATACCCATCCAAGTCCAAAGGTGGAAGAACACATACACTGGTATGGTAATAGGCAAGAGCAGACTGTAAAAGCAAAGGCTGGCTGTGCTAGTGCAGCCCTGTGGGAAGTTTTCTTCCACAGAGGCTGAGTAAAACAGTCCTGCTAAAGAAACCAGTGGAATAAGAACAGTCAAGGTAGGAAGAGACAGAAACATTCTTCTCTTCCACTTATTACCCTCCACTATGTTTTAAAAGGTATACGGTATTAAGAAAAGTTAGCCGTTGGGTTTTTTATTTTTTTAAAGTATGAACTAGTGCTGCTCCAGTTCTTCTTGCTTCTTACTTTGATGCGTCATCCTAGCTGCCTGTGGTATCATATTAGGAATCCCATCAATGATTGGATAAGCTATTCCCAATTCTTCATTAATCAATTCATTTGTTGATGCTTCATATCTGAGGTTGAAAAAAAAAGAACAAAATGGATTGTGAAAAATAAAACGCTTGAAGAGCCTGATTTTCAACAAATACCACCATTTATCCAATTCTTGGTATACAGTTAGTTAATCCCAGAGTAGTCTGCTTCAATTCTAAAAGCAACAATAGCCAATTCAACCTTTTATCTTAAAAAAAAAACTCTTAGAATCTATAATTATTCCCATTTTAGTCAGTTTCTCTCATATTCTCTTTTTCACCTTATTCACAAGTTATTCCTTATTTTTGTTTTTATAGTAGTCAAAAAAGATCCCCCTCTTATCCAAATATTCCTTCATTACTTTGGTCAACCCTCAAACCATCTGTGTTAATTTACTACTGGAACAAACACTAGAGAAAAATCAACTTTTTCATTTTAGAATAAATGCTAAATAGAGAAACTTAACTAATCCATTAGAAGGAAGTAACTGGAAAAGGTGAGAGGACAGAAATGAGAAAACACCGGAAAGCAGTGAGTCTGCAGTGAGCTAGTTATAAAGGTAAATCAAATAATTTCAAGGTTTGAGAAAATTGAATAACATGCTTATTATGGGAAAAAAAATATGAAAAAACTGCTGGCAATCTACCATTCAAAGATAATCACTGATAACATTTTGGTGTTTTGTTTATGCGATTTGTAATACTAGTGTTAGTGTTGTCGATATTCAATTCTGGTAGCTTGGAAAGTGTAGAGCTGTTTTCCCAAAAACTAGGTTAAAGACGCTTCTACGAAACCTGCTGGTCCACCACTAAGAGCCACTGGGCAGCATACACAAGTGAAATGCTTAAGACTGTCAAGCACCAGCTGTACACGACACTTTCCCAAGAATCTGGAGGGTAAAACAATACTTTTCATAATCTTGGCTTAAAAACCAGGCTTTGGCCTTGTCCTGAATCGCAGTGGTTCATAGAAATCATTTCGGGGTCGTTTAAGAACACACAAATACGTGGCAGTGGGGGTGGCGCCTGTATCCCCCAGCACCTTAGGAGGCTGAAGCGGGAGTTCTAGGCCAGCCTGGGCAACGTAGGGAGCACCCTGTCTCTTAATAGCAAAAAAAAAAAAAAAAAGAAAAAGAAAAAGGAAATACAAATGTTCAGGTCTCATCCCTCGGACATTCCGAATCTGCCGGTCTTGGGGACTGCCGGGGAATCGGCATTTTAAAAACGGTCCCCGGGTGATTGCAATGCGCAGCCGGTGGCGAACCTAAAACGCTTCAAGCCATTCCCGCAGGCTGGCGATGTGTTCGGGCAGATGTGGGACGCGGCTCCCCTGGCCTCCGGTCTCCCAGTCCTGCGGGCCCAGAGTCAAGAAAATGGCAGCGGAGAGTACCTGCCTGACCTACAAGGCCCCAGTGGCTGCGAGAGACCGCGGCCCACCGCTCCCTTTCCCCCAACCGGGAAGCTGCGAAGGAAGGGCCCAAACCAGCGAGTCACCTGAGCGGCCTCTTGGAAAGCGGGCACACCAGGAACTCCAGCAGCGCCGGATCGAAGGTACGGGGCGTCTCTTCCGGCCTCTTGTTCTGGTCGGCCGAAGGCCGCGAGCTCGACGCGTGCAGGCACCTACCGGCGGCTGCGGACAGCTGCGCGCGTGTTCCCCGCAGGGCTGAGCAGACCCTGCCGCGCGCTCCGCTCAGCATGGTCAAGCAGCCGGAGATTGGGCCTCCCTGCGTCTCCGCCGTCTGGGGCCGAGCTCCTGGCTACCCTCCTGGCCCGCCCCGCCAGCCAGGCCCCGCCCCTTGGTGCTCCTGGAAACGCTGCCGGGGAGTAGGCGGGGCGGGCGCTTTGGTTCCGAGGATGCTCCTGCCCTGACTGGTTTTCCCGCGGGCGTCTCTAGTCCGGACGACAGCCCCAAGGGCAGAGGTCTCAGATGGGTGGTGCCCCGCCCCCTTACCCGACTACAAACTAAACCAGTGTTTAAGTCGAGGTATCTGGGTTTTCACGGGGTCGTGTCGCAGGGATGCTAGGAAGCCAGTGGCCGGACCTCAGAGTTGTGGGGAGTTAGGCTTGGACCTACGCGGTTACAGCCAGGTGACTTTTCAAACACACTATCATATTGGCTGTATTGAAAGCGTTCATTTGTTTCAGGTACATATTTACTATACCATTAGTTTCTGTAATCTTGTTTGGCTTTTTCTCTCTCATTAAAAAAACTGGGAACCTGAAAGGAATGGCCTGGGTCTCTGACCCTCCAAATTATGTAAATTCTTCCCGCCCAAGACCCAGTCATTGTAAAGTATTTGCGTAATAAAGCACAACTAATTTACCTCTATAAATGAACTTGAAGGCCGCAAGGAGTCTAAAAACCTGTGTCATCAGGCGGATGTCTGTTAGTCAAATGGGTGATCCATTCAGTTAATTTGTATCCCGGGTTTGCTTCCGACTCTCTGAGGAAGTGACGCCATGTTAGGTCTTTCTTACCGCCTAGTAGGTGGGAACTTGGGATCTGGGGCCCGACAGCTCGGTTCCCCGTCCACAATTTAGTAGCTGATGACTTCAGCAAAAGACTTAACTGCTCATTTTTCTCATTTGTATAATAAGATTAATAATTGTACCTACCTTGTGAGTTCCCCTCAAGGTAGGGGATAAATGGGATTGTGCATTCAAGGAACATTTAGAAAAGTGCCCGGCACAAATTAAAATGCTCCATTCACGTTGTCTATTTTTAGTTTTATTTCATCTAGTTTTTCCATGTGAGAAGACTCCAAGATTCTTTGTTAGTCATAAATTTTTTCCCTCCGTTCTGCTGAATATCAACCTCAACTTTTTTTGCATCATGGGGCATTATCATTTAACACTTTGAGTTCCTGGGGGTGGAAGTAAAGAATACAAAAATATTTTTACATTTTCAAATTTATTTTCCACTCCAATCTAAAAATAAATTGAGAAATTTTTGTGTTCATCCTGATTTTTTGTTTACATATTTGTTTTTTGGGTCATCCTTTTTTTTTTTTTTAAGTTCATTCTTTGGTGTTCTTCGTTCACTAACACTCTGAAGATTTCTAAGACTAATGTAGCTTATAGGATACCAAAAAAGAAACACTTCTACTGGGTAGATATTTAAAAGATAATGAAAATCTCTGGTTACCAAGCCTTTCTTCCCGCACAAAGAAATATTTTGAAGTTATGACTTTCCATATTAGAGTCACTAATGGACTAGAGAATAGGGCAGTTATCAGGGACATACCCTCAAAGTTCCTAGGTCTCCTTCACGCTATTTCTGAGTAGGGCAGTAGCAGGAATTAATTTTTCAGTCGAAGTCAGTCGATACTTTGGGCTCAAGGGAGGGGATGAGCTGTAGGAAAGATAAGTTTCTGCTTAAGGGGAAACAGCACTTGACTTCTGCCAGCCTGAGTGGGCCCAACCCTTGGCCCTTGCGGGGTAGGGGAAGGCACCTATGTTTAAGCCTCAGCTAGCTTGGCTGCAGATCTCTATCAGCTGGGTTTTCTAACCAGTTATAAATAAATTAGTTTCAGTTTGCCTCCATATAGAGGATTTGAAGCAGTTCGGTTTATCTTGTTTAGGGGAAGAATAGAGCGTAACAACAAAGTATTGAAAACATCCCAAATTTATAACACCAATATTTAAGGAACATCTGAATGTGTGACTGTCTTACCGTGTGCATATTAAGTTGCAATATATCAAAGCAAAATGCCCCTAAATATTAGCCCTTGGTAATGAAGAAATAACGATTCATTTCTGCCTGTAGTATACTAAGCTAAATGTAGGTGACAGTATATAGGCTCATGGGACTGGAACTAGTCTTTTTAAAAGTTAGTCCCTTTTCACTATTCATATGACTATGACCTTTCCTGTCACATAGGCCTGTGAACAATAACCTGATGGTTTCTGGGCTCAGGTACAGTTTTAGCTGTGTGACCTTGGAGAAGGTATTTAAGTTCTCCCCCTCAGCCTTCTCACTTGCGAAATACAGTAATAATAATATCTAACTTATGGCATTTGAGCAGGCTAAATAAAACAATATAAGTAAAACAATTAGCACAGGGGCTAACAGATTAAAAGAATGTTGTTAGCAATAAAATTATTTATTATGGTGAAACCGGTAAACATTCTGATAAAAAGGGAAAGCACAAGGTACTTCTGGGACATTCTTTTTAACTGAAAGGGAATTTTCCTAATTCCAATATGGATACTATTGAAACACAGTTCTTGGATTATCACGCACGTGGAGTTAGAGGGGCTGGACTATGTATTTTAACACAACCCATAAATTCCAAATTTAGGGGCATTAAAATTTGTGAACCTATAATTCAGAGAAATGAGTCAAAATAAATTTTCCACTAGATGGCATCATTTAGTATTTGAATTAACGTTTATCTCTGCTCAGTCTTTTCTCTATGTGATCACAAATATTTACTTTTGTTTTGCCAATTGTTTTCTTAATTTGACGACACTTATTTTATTTAGACAGATTATCTCTGTGTCACCCAAGGTGGAGTATAATGGTGCAGTTGTGAGCGACTGCAGCCTCCACCTCCCAGGCTCCAGCAATCCTTGCACCTCAGCCTCCTGGGTAGCTAGGACTATGGTTCATGACACCATGCCCAGCTAATTTTTGTATTTTTTTTTTTTTTTTGTAGAGATAGTGTTCCATGTTGCCCAGGCTGCACTCAAGCAATTCACCCACCTTGCCCTCCCAAAGTGTTGCGATTCACTTGGAGTGGCTGGCAAACTATTAGGGAAATATTAGTGAAAATTATAAATTACATTCTCAAACCTTTTGGAAGGCTGAAAGTTTTTATTGGAACAGGCTGAAGGCGGCCAGTCCATTACGTTAGGGAAAAGATAGGGACAATAAGAGGCTTTCCCAGTTTAAATCTGCTTACCCCACATCACTTTGTCTCTACTCTGTTTACTCATGTAAACTTTGTGCTGGATGACCTTCTCAAGGGAGGTCAAAGGGGAATTACTCGTTAATGGTGTTTATTCTGGGCCCCAGAACTTAAAGCTTTTATCATTCATAAAACCACTCTTAACCATGTTAATCATCCACAAGCATGTTGACTTAAAACCTCTGCTATGAAATTCATACTGAATAAGTGTGAGGATGGAGAGGGAGTCTTTGTTGCTTGGCTGCAGTTTGCCTTCTGAAAGCAGCTGACAACCATCCCTAGCTCACTTGAATCACTGAAATAGGTGTGAGAGTGCATTCATTCATCCGTCGTTGAGTCAGGGTCTGCAGGTCAGACCTCCACAGATAGTGATCAATGTCTCACCAAGTGCTGGGATTACAGGCATGAGCCACTGTGCCCAGTCCAACACTTATTTTAAAAATAAAAATTATGAAAGTCTTATTGTAATTATAATGAGCTTATTAAAACCAAGTTTCCAATAGATAAATGGACAAAATATTTCAAAAGAAAAATTCACGAAAGAGAAAATGCAGTTGATCAATAAACACATTAAAAAATTATCCTCATTAGTAAAGTAGTAATGCTAGTTTCAAAAATCGAAGTTTCAAAATAACCCTAGACACGAATGTTACCAGCCTTGTTTTGGCTATCTGCAGGATAATCACAAATTCTGTCTGAAGGACTGAGGACCAGTGCCTGCAAAGGCCAGAATATCCCACCATGGGCACAAGCAGCTTCAAATTGCGGAAGTATGTCCTGTTGTTTCTTTTCTTTCCTTTCCTTTGTTTCTCTGTCTCTGTCTCTCTCTCTCTGTCTCTCTCTCTCTCTCTCTCTCTCTCTCTCTCTCTCTCTCTCTCTCTTTCTCTCTCATGCTTTCTAGATAGATCTTGCTCTGTCTCCCAGGCTGAAGTGAAGTGGCTACATCATAGGCCACTGCAGCCTTGACCTTCTGGCCTCAAACAATCCTCCCACCTCAGCCTCCCAAGGAGCTGGGACTATAGGCACAACTGGCTAATTTTTAAGAAATGTTTTGTAGCGTCAGGGTTTCACTATGTTGCTCAGGCTGGTCTTGAACTCCTGGGCTCAAGCAGTCCTTCTGTCTCAGCCTCCCAAAGTGCTGGGACTCCAGGCATGAGCCACCATATGTAGCCGTACACAACTTTCTCTTTTGGTTCTGTGGCTGCTACATTTTGGGGGATGTGCCCACTGATCCGCAACAGCTAGGGAGTGCTCTTCCATAAGCTCCCCTTCCTCACGCTGGGCAATGTGCTTTCATCATGGGCTTTGTTATCACGGTGGTTGTCTTCCTGAGCTGCATAGGCTCTATCAAGATAAACAGGTGCCTCTTTATGTCCTTGTTCATTCTGCTGCTGATTATCCTCCTTGCTGAGGTGACGTCATCCATCCTGCACTTTGTTTAGGAACAGAAGCTGAATGTGTTTGTAGCTGAGGGCCTGACTGGTAGCATTTACCATTACCACTGGGATGATAGCACCACGGTGATGTGGGACTCCATCCAGTCGTTTCTGCACTGTTGTGGTATAAAAGGCACGAGTGATTGGACCAGCGGCCAACAAGCATCTTGCCCCTCAGAGCCAAAAGCGAAATGTTGCTATGCAAAAGCAAGACTGTAGTTTCACTCCAATTGCTATATAGCAGAATCTTCACCATCCATGTATATGTGCAATCCAGATGGTGAGGGTGTCCTTTGCACTGACCCCAAACAGCCAGATTGATAAAACCGGTCAGGCCCTGGGGGTGTGACCTGCAACTGCCCTGTGCTGGGGGAGACTCATTCCATCTCTGGAAATCCAAAACTATTCATAGCATGAGCTTCTAAATGGTCACCTGCTGGACTATCTTCCCCCCATCCCTTTGCTTTTTGGGATGCTGTCCTCTACAACCAGAAAAGAAGGTGTTGGCCAGGGACTTTCCATCTCAGTCAGCAAGACAAACTTTCACCTACTGATGCCAGCAGCCACGTCTCTCAAGGTGGTAACAGTAATACTTGGACATCTTTTTAAAAATGAGAGGCCAAGAGAAACTGTGGAACTAATGGCTTGAGATCAAAGAGTGGGGCCAGGATGTGAATTTGTGCATATTCCTATTGTCAAATTTGTCTGTGGCCTCTATGTCATGCCCAGTCTGCTCTCCAAAGTGAAGCAAGAGACAAGCTGAAGGGAGTTCTATGTCCAGGCTCATGGGACCCTTGTCACAACCCTGTTTCTCTTTGACAAAGGGTGGTGGCTACAGGAATTGCAGAGTGCTCTTTCTCCAAAGGGTAATGCTTCATTTCCATACCTTTATTAAAGGGCCTTATCAATTTTTTCTGTCTTTCCACAAAAAATTATCCAGTGATTTATATCCTATCTTCAACCAGTCACTTAGCTGATAATCACATTCACAAGACTTCTGGTGTTCTCTCTCTATTAGATAAGGTTTTGGTAGTATACTATTTTACTCTTCAATAAATAAAAGTGAAGTTAATTTTTTAAAAAATCGAAGAAGTTTCCATTTCACATCTATCAAAAAAGTAAATATTTTAAAAATTTAATTCATTTATTAATTTATTGACTGCCCACTATGTGGCAGGCATGCACCATTATAAACATTTAAAAATAAAAACTTATAACAAAATTATAATAAGTGAAAAACAAGCAGGACACAAAAAGCGAATGGACAATGATTATAATTATATTTTTAAACCAAGAACTTTGGCATAGGGGAGAAAAACAAATAACAACCAAAATGTTGGCTGACTGCTGTGGCTTATACCTATAATACTGCACAAGGCAGGAGGATTGCCTAAGGCCAGGAGTTCAATACCAGCCTGAGCAACTTAGCAAGACCCTGTTTCTACACAAAATAAAAAAATTATCTGGCTGTGATAGTGCCTGTAGTACTAGCTATTCAGGAGGCTGAGGAAGGAAGATCACTTGAGTCCACGAGTTTGAGGTTATAGGAATGTATGAAGGCACCACTGCACTCCAGCCTGGGCAACAGAGCAAGAAGCTGTCTCTATTAAAAAAAAA